CTGGATGGTATGCTTGTCCATCCTAGGGTTACCCCCCAGCATTAAATTCTTCAGTACCCATTTAAACATGTGGGTGTAGAGAGACACTATGAGAGTAAAGTGTCTCATGCAAGAACACGAAACCATGTCCCTGGCCAGGGTTTGAACACGGACCACTTGATCTGGAGTGGAGTGCACTAACCATGAATCCACTGCACCACCCTAACCATAACTGTGTGCAGCATGAACTAACACATTCTAATTCTGCACTTACATATTTGTTCATCTTCTGCGTAAGAACCCGAGTAGCTTAAATGTAGTTCAAATAAAACAAAATATTGGGAGTGAAAGAAGTCACTCACTCATCCAGGTTACCCACTAATTTCAACCTCATCACCTTCAACCATCTTACAAAAAAGGGTTTTCATTGGGAATTTGAGTCAAGAGAACTTTCTGAACTACTATGCTGAACTCTCCTGTTGAATTTTTGAGGTCTGAATGATCCTTCATACAGATGTAGAGAAAATTCTCCTGTAGCTTGACACTGTTTTGTTGCTACAGGTACGTCAGTATTACATGCACGTTAAAAAAAAAACTTACCTATGGTGGGGATAGTAGTAACAATTTCTCCCAGTTTGAGTTTGTACAAGATTGTTGTTTTACCAGCTGCATCAAGACCCACTGCAGGACAGAAGAAGAAGAAGAAAAAAATGTAAAACTGATCTGAACAAGGTTAAATTCAGAAGGAAGAGGGGACAGGTTTTGTTGTTGCAGATTGGAACAGGGCAGAAGGCAGGAAGTGAGCAAAGATAAATATCATACAAAAGCCTGAGGGCCATGTGTAACTGAGACAAACAACTTGCATCACAAGATACTGTGGAGGAAATGTGTCGCTTTAAAAATAATCCATGGACGAATTACCGCGCAATTTATCTCATGAATAACACTGCAGCCTCGAAAAAAATATTGGCATGAACAGTTCAAGTACCTTTCGTTGCCTTAAATTGAAAATTCCACTCAAAAACAATTTCAGAGATCGTGGCATTTTGCTAATAATTGATTGTCATATGGAAAGAGAAGAAATTTTTATTTCAGGTCTTTAAGTATCTTTCAGGTCTTTAAGCATCTTTCATCAAAAGGTCAAATGAACACTGAAATACATTGTCTGTGAACAAGGTTACGTGTATCACTACCAGCATAATTGGTACAGAATGTGAATAATTTGCCAAGAAAATGGTCAATTTTATAGGTACAATTCGTAAGTAAAATTATCTGGCTTTTCCTTACGTCAAAAGGTCTAAACTTTGATTCAATTATCTAAGTCAAGTTCGAGAAGACACCTGTGTAGTGTATTTCTGACACGAACCTTGTTTAATCGTGATTCCATTGGATCTCAAACTAAACGGATAAAAATGGAAGATATTGAGACAATTTTATCCACTCTTACCCATAAGAATCCTCATAGGAACCTTGCCGAAAAGCCTGGAGAATAAGCTTGAAATTGTAAGCCCCATGATCGTGAAATGACCGGCAAATCTCTACCGCGGTTCACTTCTTTATTTTCGCGTGGAATCAGTGACAAGAACTAGGCCACGTCAAAAGTTCTCCTGCGCTTGCGCAAAGTAGCATTTCCGCTCGTTTCCAGGATTTTCTCTCGGAGTGTCGAAGTAACTTCCGTTATCAGAAACTGCGCCTGCAGTATTTGAACATTTCCTTCAAACTTATGCCCACATGTCCAAACTTTATCTGCGTAGTAGTGGTATTCAAACATGGCGCTGTTTAGGTCTATCGCAAGCGCCCGAGGCAAGGTAACTCTGTGAGCCCTTGAAAGGACAAATCTTTTAAAACTTGAAGTTTATCTGAACAACTTTCTTTCATTTTCCAGGGTGTCTTTTCAGCGATTTGTCGCAATGCTTTTAGCACAACTTCTAAGGCTTCTGCGACGGTGAGTCAGGTTTTTCTAGCTACTCTGGATGAGGGATATGCCCCATCAATTGATTGTGTTCGAATCAAATAGTATGATTCACCGATTTGCGTCTGTCAACTCATCTACAATCCACCCACAAAACAAATGACATATTCCTGCAGTAAACTAACCATTGTGTAAAAAGTGAAGAAAATTTATGGACGTATTTGTTTTGTAGAAGTGTACGTCTGGGTCGCCCTTTGCAATCACGTGAAGAGCGATGTTCGACTCGTGCTTGAACCTATCATATTCAGCCCGTTTAACTTCTGGTTGATTTTTCTGATCATGTCATGATCACTCAAAATTATTTCTTTTTATAAATCAAATATTAGTTTTTTGAAGTACATTCCTATACATAATATTTGGCTCATCCTCTGTGTAAAAACCTGTGAAGCTCACAAGTGACGTACAACGAAGTCAACAAAACATTATAAACAATAGCGTACAGCAAAACAATACCTCATTAAACAAATAAAACCTCATCAGGTTTTTACACCGAGGATGACCCTAATTTTTCATGTGGTTTTGTTGTACAAGGTGAATTTGATAAGCAATGCAGCACATATGCTGATTACTTAAAATCAATGCACAGCTCAGTTCACACAGAAAACAACTGAAAAAATGAACCACATTCTTGATTTAAAAAAAAAAAAACAAAACAAAATACAGCATAAACAAGGTAAGAAAGAAACATCCCTTGAAGAGCAAGGAGACCACTTGAATTTGTTGTAGAGCTAGTTGCTGTTTAAATGCTTTGTACTGCCTGAGTTTCTTTGTTTTGGCTGTGATTTGAAAATGTGATTAGTCCACTAAATCCTTCCTAGAAGAGGAAACAAGTCAAACTTGAGTTTTGTAATAACTTTGATGTGTGATAAATGTCTAAAAACTGACGAAATAAACTTTTTGTAGCCTTAAGTGCAGCATTAAGTGTTATCTATGTGGCACTGAAGAGTTGTATTGTGAATGGTACTGTGATTCTGTTTCAACAGATGACTGTCCGAGATGCTTTAAACTCCGCCATGGAAGAGGAGATTAAAAGGGATGAGAGAGTTTTCTTGTTGGGTGAAGAGGTGGCCATGTATGATGGTGCTTACAAGGTGGCTATGCATTAACAATTGTTTTCAGTGTTATTGTTTTGTCTGTAAAGATAATCAGGACAGTCTCAGGTACATGTTAAGGTGTCAAGAACTCCCCATTTTAATGTGTAACACTTGCTACGTATGTCCTGTTAGCAAGAGGGGAATTTCCTTGTAGAGAAACCTAAAATAGAAAAAAAAAAATATGTCGAAGACTCATCTCTACAGCCAGCACACTACATCTTATTATCAAGAAAATTTTTTCATGGAGCTACATCAATAAAAAAATTGTTTCATCAATGATTTTTCCCCAATATCTGGTTGTCAATTCTTCCCTCCAGCTGCCACTTATTTCATTGTAAATTAGTAATAAGAATTTGGTGTTAGATCAAGATAACTTCTACTTGATGATGATTTTGAGTATTCTCATTGCCTATGAGCTGGATTATGTATGGATGTTATAGGGAGAGGTTTGCAAAGCTGTGGTCTAGCAGTGCCTGGTGGCTCGTAGCACCTTACTTTTGTTTTTGGGTGACTCAGAAATTTTAGTTTTTCATAAAAAGCATATGCTGGGCACCCTGGATTTCACAGTTTCAGAGCACTGGGCTCCATTCAACTTTCCTTAGAGGACAGCCTTGGGTTACATGTTAATCACTACTGGGAGTTTGAGTGTTCATCTCCATGGGATGTAAACTGAACAACTGTGCTTTTATGAGTCACTTATGTCATGTAGTTTGTAGAGTTACATTAATGAGAAGAATATTGTCTAGCCCATGATTTCAAAAACTTTTTTGACAGGTAAGCAGAGGATTGTGGAAAAAGTTTGGCGATAAGAGAATAATAGACACTCCTATCACAGAGGTAAGTAGCACTGTTGCCAGGTTTTATATGGGTCCTGGAAAACCTGCAAAGTCCTGGAATTTTATTTTGATGTTCTCCAGGAGTAGAAAGTCGTGGAAAAAGACAACAGGTCCTGCAAAGTCCTGGGGATCTGCTTAACTTAAGAAATAAAGTTTTCAGAATTTATGTTATAAGAAATGTACATAGACTGTAAGGAGAATTGATTTTGACATTTTGAAATTTTGGAGTACTAGATAAATCAATCTGAGTACTGGAATATTCCTTAAAATTTGTTTCTCTACAAACCCTGTGTCATGGTATAAAAGACATATTTTAGATTTAGAATAAAAGAGATAATTATGCACATGAAATGTCTATAGAGACTTTAAAAACTTGACTGATGTGTTGTAATTCATTGCAGATGGGCTTTGCTGGTATTGCTGTGGGTGCAGCTATGGTAAGTCAACACAGGGGTTTCATTTGGGGCGGGGCATTGGGCAAATTGACCAGTTGTGAGGACGGGTTTGCCCACCTGGTTTGACGATCTGGAGGAAAGTTTATCTTATAAAGAAGTTCAGTTCAAAAAGTTTTGCCCACCTGCAAAAACCAGTTACCTTCCCGCTGAAAACATTAATGAAATCCCTGGTAAACATCTCTCATACATTTTACATGCAATGCATGATGTATAATGATGTTAAGTATAACAATGGACTTTAACTGCTGTGTGTCTTTAAACCCTCTAAACCCAAAGAATGACCAGCATCTAATTTCTCCCTTCAAAACAGTGCTGAATCATTTATTAAGATGATGAGAATAAAGGAAATGATCACCAACCTATGAAGCTTTGATTGTTGAACAAATTCTCCCTGTTATTACCAAAGGAAATGTAGAGATAAGAGTTTGGAGAATGTGGATACTGATGTTAGGGTGTAAATGGTCAAGAAAACCTAGAATGATTTCTTCAGCCTGAACATCCAGGTGGTGGTAAATGTTACTTGTGTTGATTGGAAACTCATGCAGAGTTCAGAATTAAGCATTTTTTTTTTTACTAGCTACACATTGTATAACCTAAAGTCCTGTTTGATGTTAGGCTGGCCTTAGACCCATCTGTGAATTCATGACTTTTAATTTTGCAATGCAAGCTATTGATCAGGTCAGTGTACAAACAACATATAAATATTAGGTAAAAAATCAATCTACTATAGTTGCATTATTTCATGTCTCGAAGACATGGCACTAGATTTTTTTTGGACATAGTGGTTAGAGGTTGCACATTCCTCTAAACTAGGGTTCATGCCAAAAACTTGTAACAAACTAATGTATTACAGTATATATGTTGGCAAGGCTGTGGTCTAGCTGTGCCCGGTGGCCCCTGGTGCCTTACTTTTGCTCTTGGGAGACTCAGGAATCTTAGTTTTTTCATAAAAAGCATATGCTAGGCACCCTGAATTTCACAGTTCCAGAGCACTGGGCTCCCTTCAATTTTTCTTAGGGCACAGCCTTCTGTTGGGCTTGAGAAAGTCTGTACTTGAGCTCATTGAGCCCATACAGTGGGAGCTTATCCCAGTTTCCCCTGCTTGAAGTAATAAGGAGTAACATTACTCCTCCCTAGATGGAATGCTAATATATCACAAGGTTACCCCCCCCCCCAGCACTTTATCAGGCTTCCCTGACATTTTGCCATTTTACATCCTCCCAGTTAGCTCAACGGATAGAGCGCTGGACTGATGTGTGGGAGGTCGAGGGTTCGATCCCCGGCCGGACCAACACTCAAGGTCTTAAAATCATTGAGAAGAATATGCTGCCTTTCTATAACGTCAAGAAATGGTTTAGATATTCTAGTCTTCTCGGATAGGGATGAATAAGTGGAGGTCCCTTCTCCTGCATGGTTAGGGGTAGGAGACATTAATTTCCCATGCACGAGATTACTGTGTGATGGATGTCCTCCCCTGTGGTGGGATGGGTGGGTTGCTGTCTTGCGTTTCATACATGAGCCTCTGGCTCGGGCAATATGGGTAACCATGCCCCCCACGTAAAGACATCAAACTTTGATTACTATTACTATTACTACTATCTCAATGACCAGCTCAGGTATTGAACTCTGACCTCTTGACCTGCAGTTCAGGGCACTAATCATTAAGGCACAGCATCTCTCTCATGTAAACCAAATAGTACCCAAAAATTTTGGGTGTAAGAAAATTTCTACCTCTTAAATAACTCGTTTTTTATCCTTGCAATGCAAAGTTAGTAATAGTAAGAACTTTCTTTTCTGTTACACAGGTGATAAATTCTGCGGCCAAAACTTTCTACATGTCTGCTGGGCAGGTATGGTACAATGGACAGGACTGCGTGTATTGTCAAGGAGCCTTGTTTACCCTTTCATTCTTGAAATCTCAATTGCATTTCTCCTTTCTGTCTGCTCTACATTTCTAATAATGTTGCTCTCAAAGAATTTGGAGTTGGATGAAATGTTTATCCCCTTGTTGATATTTTTGTTCTTCTCATCTTGTTTCTGCTTGATATTGTTTTGATAATGTGAGGAGAAATTATATTTTGGTCAGTCCTGGGATAGAGATCCAGAAATAGCAATAGTTAAACCTAAAAATAATGTTTGCTGGGCAAGATAATTACCACATAGGTAAGAAAAAGAGAAAAATTGAACAAAGATGGCTTAGGATAGAGAAAAAACTTAAAAATGTTGACTACATTTTGTGAGATACAGAAACTGTGACAAATATGAAGATTGTTGAGTACATTGTATGTCTTGATTAAGTAATATGCAGTAAACTTTAAACACTTGTATGGATGTGTGCCTTATGTTACAAAAACTGAAGCATATAATTCCCTGTTCCTATAGTCACATTGTCCTCAGTGTGAAAGATGAGGTGTCTTTATGCAGGGCATAGAATTACCTAATATTCTTGACATTTCTCTTAGCTTGTAGATATTGCAAGAACCAGATTATCACTAGTATTATTGTGTTAGCTGTAATTCTATCCAAATTGGTGGGCTATTGTCCCATTTGGTCTATTTCAAACCTAGGTCCCAGTCCCTGTGGTTTTCCGAGGTCCAAACGGTGCAGCTGCAGGAGTGGCTGCTCAGCATTCACAGTGTTATGCTGCTTGGTACGGTCACTGTCCTGGCCTTAAGGTTAGAAGCAGTTCTTGAAAAATTAGTTTTTATGGAAAAGGCTCTTATAAAGCTCTCCTCCTCCTCCGTCCTTCTCCCTTTGCACCTAGAGCTTCAAGTTTCTGATGAGTAACTCCCAATCCCTAAATCCCCCTTCCTACTACCCCTCCCCCTAAACAAATACTTTAACAGGATAATTATTAAGTGCAAATTGGTGTACAGTGGTACTGTTATTCATTAGGGTCAGGTAACATTTTGTCACATCAAATTGTATTTAAGCCAGTCTGTAGTTTCTATTGTAAATCTTTCTGCCTTTTTTTAAGCAAAGAAATGCATGCTGTTTATGGCATTCAAGAAAATGATAACTCACATTTCGACCCTGGAGGAGTTTTTACCAAGCTCTACTCAATCTCTAATAAGGTCTAAGTTTGGAAGCCCTAGAAAATGAATCATGTAAGCCCCTTGTGTTTTGTCCTTAGTGTGAGACAAAGTAAAAAAATCTGCATCCTGATGAGGAACAAACCTCAGACTCTTAAATTCTGTACTTTAGTGCTCCAGCACTGATCATGAGCTATACTTAATAGGGAAATCTACTGTGAGCCAGGGGGCATCAGTACGAATTACTGTTAATCTGAAAGTTATAGTTGGTTACCTCTTGGGTTTCAGAGATTTTTCTTTGACCCATGCTTAACGATACAAAAGAACATCTTTTTTTAATTCATTACTAAGCTCAAAATCCTATTCTATTCAAGCTTCCATTCTGCTTGCTTTTTTTAATGTGTGTACACAACTCATCATTAAACATGCAGCAGGGAAAAGAGTTAGAGGTTTGTCTTCTTTGCTGTATTCCAGGTGGTATCTCCTTATTCAGCTGAAGATGCTAAAGGTTTGCTGAAGTCAGCCATTAGAGATAATGATCCAGGTATCCTGATAGAGTAAAGTTTATTGCTCAGGGAACACCACACAGTGACCACTGCTTGTCAAACAGAGTAACAGCTTTCTTAAAATACTTTTTGCGGACTACGTCCCTCAACACTTAGAAAAATTCTAGATTTTCCTTAAATTCTGCATGGTACACTCAGTTCAAGTGGTTTTTTTTTTTTACGAAAGTTTATCCCAAGGATAAGTTGATCTGCGTTACCTCGAACTTTGGCTAACATAAGGTTGTTAGATATGATGAATAATATGAAGTTCATATATTTTGAACTGCGGTTATAGATACGTATGATGCACGGTCCTCGCAGTAGAGAGCGCTATTTATGCAATAGCGAAAATCAGACCTGAAAAAAATAAGGCCTGTACGGGATTCGAACCACTGACCTCTGCGATACTAGTGCAGCGCTCTACCAATTGAGCTAACAAGCCAACTGGGAGCAGGCCGTTAAGTTGATTCGTAATAAACCCGTGATGATAAGGTTGTTAGTTCCTCAGTTTTTCCTTCCCAATTTCAGTGGTGGTTCTTGAAAATGAAGTCATGTATGGTGTGCAGTTTGATATGCCAGAGGAGGCATTAGACCCAGAGTTTGTAATTCCCTTTGGCAAAGCTAAAATAGAGAGAACAGGTAAGTCGTTCCTGTGATCCGTGGACCTGTGCAGCAGAACCTCATTGGTTCCCTCAATCTCAATGGAGCAAGGTCAAAGTTCTTTTTACAGGTTAATAGTTTTTAATGATCTAATATTTTGTTTTTGTTGTTTTTCACTCTGTAGGAAGTCATATAACCATAGTAGCTCACTCAAGGTCTGTTCAGATTTCTTTGGAGGCAGCTAAACAGCTAGAGGCAGAAAATATTGACTGCGAGGTATGTTCACTAAAGTTCTTGTGAAACTTTTATCAAGTTCCAGCTCCCACGGAACATTCCAATTTGGCAGAACTTTACTTTTCATAAGAATGCGAGCAGACTGTTCTCAGTGCGAGGTTTGAATGTGACTTAGTTGGGTCGAGGCTGTGTTTAACTGTCTGGGCACAACCTTCTAAGTCTCGTTCAATCGCCACTCCCTTGAAACTCTCGCTTCACAGAGCGCTTTTCGATTCAGTGTCGTTACAAAAAACCCAAAGTAATCAGAACGGCCCATCAGATGAAAGGAAAATATAACAAGAAGTAAATGAGATTGATGAAGTTGACGATGACAGCGATGAACGATGACGATGACGATGACGATGACGGTGACTATGACTATGACTGACAGATACAATGAAGATGATGGATATGACGTCGACGGCGACGTTGATAATGATGTGACGATGACTGAGGGTGACGACTTCGATTACAATGGCGATGATGACTACAGCGACGATGATGACAATTGCAATGACGGTGGCGGCCACGATAATAATGAGTAGGATTAGAATAACGATGACTAAGGATGACAATTACAATTAAGATGACGATTACACTGATGATGAAGCTGACGATTATAAGACAATGACAAATGAAATGCCGACTTAGATGAAGATGATTTCAATGATAACGTTGATGACGACGATGCCGCCGACAGCGACAAGACCCTGTTACTGAGCTATACCAATACCTCTGATCAAGACTTTCTAAAATTCCTTCCTTGTCCATGGACAGGTGATCAACTTGCGTAGCATCCGGCCTATGGACATGGATTGTATTACAAGTTCTCTCAAGAAAACCAACCATTTGATTACAGTAGAGGGCGGCTGGCCGCAGTTTGGTGTAGGGGCAGAAATTGCTGCTACTATTACAGAAAGTAAGTGTAATGTTACATACGTCATTTTAGTTATTTGCGATAGAAGCTGATCCAGTAGCGTATATTTGGAGTAATCACACCCCAGATACTGTCTAGCATTTCTTCCAGTGGAAGAAAAATGCTCTGAGTTGCTTGATTAGTTTATAAGAAATAGAGCGCATTCGATTGGGTGCCCCGTAGCAATCTCAACAGCCAATCAATGCAAGGAAAATAACAGCAAGAGCCAATGAGAACTCCAAATAAAAACAACCAAACTATCTGAAGCGCGGGAAAGCGCGGGAAAACGCGGGAACACGCAAGTGACGAATTTGCAATTGGTTTTTAGTTTTGATTGGTCTAGAAAGTGACGCGAGTTTTCTGGACCAATCACAGAACGAAATGAAGCAAAACCAAACAATCCCAGACCACTTTTAACGCTCAATTGAAAGTTGCTCTATAATTTAAATATGTCTCAAAATTGTAAATGAGGATTTGAAAATTGTTGTTGTTTCAACTATGCTGACTCTCATGCAAACTTACCAATAGTTGTAAACTTTTTATTATTATTTGTGCCAATCACTACTCATTTTTCCTCTTCTTGTTTAGGCGATGCATTTGATTACCTGGATGGTCCCATTTACCGAGTGACTGGGGCAGACATTCCCATGCCGTATGCCCAACTCTTAGAATCAAACACTATACCTCAGGTTCAAAACGTCGTCCTTACCGTGAAGAAATCTCTCAATCTAGCTTAACAATATAAAATTATATTACAATACTACAGTATTACACTACTTCATCATAACACTGCCGGCTAAGAGCAGAATCCTATTATACTGAATTTTGAAATCCTAGTTATAAATATTCAGTAGAATTATGTAATGCTTTCATGACATATGTTTTATTGAATGTGTGGGTGGTACCTGAAACGTTTACCGTACTTGGTGAATATATTTTTATTTTTCAATATAGTATTTAAAGAGACTTAAAGTAGGTTACTATAATCC